AGTTTGGCAAAAAATCACGTTAACACGTGCAACCCCCTAAAACCCTAAAATCTTAAATGGAAAGGGGGGTCGAGTGATATCTTATTTTAAAGGTGTTTCAATTTCCTTTATAATGATGTAAAATACATGAGCTTCAGGTCAGTAGTTTTGAAGATTTATTGATTTAGAGCTTACAGTAGACTTTAATAGGTACATCAGATTAGTTTTTACTACTTTTAGAAGAAATTTGACTAAAATAATTTACTTAATAAGTAAATGCTTTTCTTCACTACGCCCATGGTTTGTTTATCATTTTGTTGTTGAAAATAGCTATTGGAGCGTTTTTTTGTGGCAAAAAAGTTATTTCTTGAAGAAAGATAAGAAAATATCTCGTACTTATTTTAAATAGGAATTTAGTACATAGTTTGCGGTTGATTTGACCAAACTTTGTTGCTAAAATAACTTGTAACGCTTTATTACATAAATTAACCATGGTATATTCCACAGCAGAAACAGTTGAAATTATCGAAATATTTTTCGGAAATTATCAGTGTGTTAATATAATAACAGGAGAAATATTTAATGAGCGACATGGGAACAGTAACGTGCATCGAAAATATGTTCTAGAACTTATAGCTAAATTTTGGAAAACTGGGTCAATCGCCAATAAAAAACGCAACCTTGAAAATCCCATAAGGAATGAAGCAATAGAAGTGGGGGTTTTAGGACAAGTTTATGTAGATCCTACGTTAAGTACCCGCAAATTGGAGACTGTGTGTGCTGTTAGTCGACGTACTGTCCAACGGATTCTAAAGGCTCATAGTTTTCATCCGTATAAAATTAACCTGGTACAAGAACTTAATGAAGACGATTTTGATCGGCGATTACAATTTTGTGAAGATATGAGGGAACGAATTATAAACGATGAACATTTTCTATTCAACACTTGCTTTCCCTACGAATGTTCCTTTTTCTTAAATGGCGTAGTAAATCGTCATAACTGCCGATATTGGTCCGATTCTAATCCCAAAATTTATCATGAGGTTCATACACAGCAGCCACAAAAATTAAATGTTTGGGCTGCGACTAAGAATTATTGTGAATGAGTGCCTTCAAATTACTCCTTAAATATTGCAAAATGTGCGGCAACATTTTGAGCAAAATCTTTATTATTGCATGGAGAGTCATGGTGGCCATTTTCAACATTAACTTGCCTAACGGGTTAGTTCATTCTTCATGTTTAAATTACTTTGCTGCCAAATGTATTGATCTCCACTAATGATGATGTATTAGGTTTATTTAAGCTTTAAATCAATAAATCTTCAAAAATACTGAACTGAAGTACATTAATTTTATGTCATTATAAAGGGAATTGAAAGACCTTTGAAATAAGGTATCACTCGACCCCCCTTTGCATTTAAGATTTTGGGGGTGGTGTCACCCAGGCTTAGGGGGCTGCACGTGCTAACGTGATTTTTTGCCAAACTTGTGTCCCCCTCGAAAACAAAATCGACGGGTCTGAGCGTTTTTAAAAAAAAATACTGAGCTGCCAGTGAATGCGTCTGTTTCGTTTTCGATGCGCCAACCTGTATAGCATATATCGTAACCACTGCATCGATTGAAGGGAAACATTGTATAAAGTCTTACATTAGAAATGGAAGTTCCGAGTCATTCCATTAAATTATGTCTACAGACATTCTATCTATATAGTCTCTTCAATATAAATCTGTACTACGTATCAGTTTCCGTTCACATTCCGCATTGGAGTTTTGTGGATCGTAATGTTCGCGACTTCATTGAAGTCTCAAATAACATCATACAGTAGCGCGGCAAATAAAAGTTACTACAGTCATATCTTTCTCTCAGAATTACTAAATTAACTTTCAAACAGTGCGGTACGATGATACTTCGCCATAATAAAAATGAAATATGTGTAAAGCAAAGTACAACAATTTTCGTTAGGACCACGAATTATGCAAGCTTGTTGTTGGACTTAATTTACTTATGTACATCGAATAGCACTTTCCGTATTCAATATTGGCTTTTTTATGAGAATCATATCAAGGATATGGCATGTACGAAGATACTGGTAAGCAAATACTGACATTTAATTGAAATCTAGCTATAAAAGACCATAACTATACAACCTTCCTGAACAAGCGGTTGCAAAAGGCTTTGGCAGTGCCTACCCTCCTTCAAAATCTCTCAAATATGTCAGGGTGTTTCTTACATCTACCAATTAACTGAATTGTTAGACCTTACTACATTTTACACTCAAATTACCACCATCATAGGGAATATCCTTGGGGAAACAACTTTTGAACTTCATATACAAATTTTACTAGTAATAATTTATTTGGCAAACGTATTGCTTGGACCTATTCAGTGCTTTCCTCCAACTTATTTTTTGGAAGGGGTCAATCTAGAACGCTGAAATTCAGGATAATGAACTTGGTGCATGAATTCTATATTTAAAAGTAACAGATGAACATTTTTTTAAATAGAGTGAGGGGTCATCTGATACCTTACTCTGAACTCTGTACGAGCTCTTTATAATTTAGAATATAAACACACTATCTTTAAGGATGGCGGAATGGCAGGATGTCACAGCTGAGCATTTCTCTCCATTGAATCGCTTATAACTCAAGAATTAATCATCAAAACGTATGTAGTATGTTACAAAAATCCTCTTTGGAAAGTATCGATCTACATGTGTAATAAAATATATGACAGTCAGTTGGAAAAAATTGAGAGTTTTTGGCTTTTTTAATTGGTACGTCCTATACTTTATCACACACTCATAGACCTTTCCAAGAGAAGGAGATTGATATGACATAGCATGGCGTTTTGATAAATAATTCCTAGTTGAGTTAAAAGCGACACTAGCGTACAATAACTCTAATTTTGATAGCCTGCCGGATTGTTGTTTTAAAAGATAACGATTTTATATTATGGGATTATAAAGTACTAACTATAAGTGAAATGTTATATGGCCCACCGTACCATTTAAAAAATGGCGCCCAGCCGCCATCTTTAACTTTTCAACTGTCACTTCAAGCTAAAATATAAGTAATGTTCTAGCATCACATTTCCAATGATTTGACACTCGATTGTGAACTTCTTCAACGTGTACGCGTTGTCAAAACAGTAGTTTCAAATGGTTGATTTTGCTAAAACACATTTTTCTTCAACCACTTTGCGAGTCACTATGAAACGTTCCATGAATTCACTTCCATTGTAATGAGGTACCGTTATATTTACGTAATGCTAATTTTTTCGTTTTATGAAGCAGTATGTGCAGATTTTTTTCATAAGTACTCGAATCGATATCTGAGCTCCAGTCGGATTCTGAACTTGAACTACAAGAATATGATATTTCTGTGAGCAATACAAACGGATACCCGAGTACACAATAAAAAAATAGTAAACACCAAATTTTATAAAAAGCGTTATCTGGATTCAATATTTTCAATTGATACAAAGTATTGAAAGTTGCAACAAAACTAACTAACTCCATAACAAAACAAGATCTTGTACAATCATGTCAGAAACTCCTGTCTAAATCCTGTGCACTGTTTCGACAATCCACAACCAGTTTCCAAACAAACAATTGGTTTGCTAAAACAGCGAATCACTAATCCCCAACTAGGTTTTACCCTTGCTTCAATAAGTTTCCTCCTCTGCGCATGCTCAGTCGGTTTCATACCGTTGGAAATGCGATGCTAAAACATTACTATAGTAAACATGCATTAATTTCATTGCTCCGAATTTTGTTTTGCTAACCCTATCCGTTCAAAAAAAAGTAAGCTATTTGCGAGGTATAAGTGTGACAAAAAAGAACCCTAGATTTAAAACGTCTAAGGGAAATATTGCCCATGGAACAGATAAAGGGTGTTGCAGTTTAATTTTCAAGATGCTTTTCTTTGTAACCCAAATATTGTCATTAATATTGGAAAACGTTATGGTTTTTGAGGATGAGGTTCACAATTATTATTGTATACTTAACCTAGTGTGTAGCGGGCGCTCGTTACAGCCTGTGATCTTGCTATTTTGAACCATAACATTTTGGGTATCATTGGTCAATTTTCTCATCAAAAACTACTGTAGAGTGACGACTTTTAAGTATAACATCTAGTTTAATTAACAAACCCATATCCATCGCCACGTTCATTTGTCATCTTCGACATACTCTACTTAACGATTTGTTCTTAAACCGGTCTGTAGGCTGTGCAATAAAATGTTGAAATGCGAATATCTCAAAGAAGATGAGTTTGTTTGAGATAAGTCCATACATAAGTGTCATTCTATCATAATGTTTTTTCTGAAGACAGGTTTTTTGTGTTTTCAAAAACTGAGGAAAATTACGGGAAATCACCACTGCGCCCGCGTTGTGTGTAATTACTGTTAGCATGTATATGATAGTGTACAGTGAATATAATAATTATTTCTTATCTCTCTCATTTTAATTCAGCGAATTTGCATATGTAATTTCCGGAATGGATAAGAAAAAGTGGATGCGCAACAGAAAATCTCACTATTCTGTTACCTCCAGTAATGCCATCTCTGAAGATTTTACATCACATCAGGGCCAAACATTGATAACTGAAGCTTTATGACGTATAGACAGCACGTATAACTACAAAACGAGTTCACAACGTGTCCATCAGCTAGTTCTAAATTAATATCTTGTAGAAAGACCTACATAATGTCACAAAAAACCAATATAACGTCAAAAAAATAGACATAATAGCACTTTTCAAGAAACATAATACCCGTGCGGATTTGTCGATACCACAAAAACAGCTTGAGTTATGTAGAAAAACAGCTTTAAAAATTGAACAATGTCACTAGTTTCACCATTTACTCTGATTGGTATTTTGCAGATTTATTACCGGCCAGTCTGTATATTCGCAGGCGCGCGGTATTTAAGAGGTCGTGGAAGTACAAAATAATCTTGAAATAGTTCAAATAACTACCCTACGAACCACACCAATAACACAAATATAATATATCTATCGTAGCAAGTAGTCAGCAGTACACAGAGAGTGTGGAAGATATTCCTGAACTGAATAAAATTACAACTATTCTCATTCATCATTTTTGGGTACGTCACTGACATCGCGACTTATCGACAATATAAGAAATGAGGCCGGTAGCTTGTGGGTGACATCTCGATATAGGATTTTTATCGACGGGCTTTGTATTACAAAAATCTCATGCCAAATTCAATGTGAATGATAGGTTGAACGCACCGATATAATAAGTCCACTGTTATTGAGCGACTTCACGAATAATGAATCTTGTGTTTTGTGTGTATCTTTTTTTACAAAACGGCAATGCTTTTTCAAGTTTTAGTAGATTGCTCTTTAATATTAGAATGCCGTATCTACAGGGCAGGCCACTCGTCCTTTTTCAGCAAGACAACGCACGTCCCAATATTGCTGTCTTCAAGAAGCAGGCGTTAATGGTTTACCGTTCACTGAATTAAAATCCCATCAAGCATGTGTAGGTTATGATGGGGAGGAGACTACCAACTTTGCACCATCCGCCACAGACTCCGTCACAGACTCTGCCACAGCTAATTCACTAAGTTCGAATTGCTTGGAATGAGGTGCCACAACCATATATAGATCATCTCATTTTGTCGATGCCTAAACATATACAGGATTGTATTCTGCTGCGGGGTCGCCCAACACGTTATTATTTTTTTTCTTATTACTTGACAATAAACTTTCGTGATAATGTTATCGTTTCATTCTTGATGTAAGACTCATTGCCAAATATCAAGTTGAAGAAACGATTTTTTTCTGGGTGTAACGCTTCTACCGCCACTAAGTATAATTGTAGGTGAGACTGCGCGCATCTCTCTAGCATGCTGAATATTCCGTACGGATAATTACAATGATTTGAAATAAGCTAAGCCAAAAATATTTTCCGGAGTCTTGTGGAGAAACGTGTGTACTTTAATTTGGACACTTGGCAATCCCAAAAGTAATGAATTTAACTTCCTACGCCTGAAAAGAAAAAATATTGCAATCGCAAAGATCTCGAAAACGAGTTGTTGTGTTTTTGAACGTTATATAATGAGTATTCCATGAATAAATGTCTCTCATTGGCTGTCTCTCTATCCGCTAATCACTGACCTATCTATAACTTGAAAAGTACGGATCTGATTCTAATCAAGTCCTGACATAAGGTTACTGCTATTCCAAGGACGAAAAAGCTTTGTAGTTTTTGAAAATCGTCCATTGGCGGCGGAGATAGGAGCAAAAAACAATTAAAACCGCATAAACTTCATTTATGATATTTCAAAAACTCCTCATCATTTTCATAATATTGTTGTAGAGGTTAAAATTTTGGGTTGGAGGTTGTCGGGGATAGTAAGATTGTTGGTACGAGGGATGTCTTTTAAGTTTTGCCTATGGAAATAAAACAACACGGTATGTTGTTTTAAATGACTTTATTGTTTTTCGAAGTATTCTCCACGAAGACACATACATCTGCATGCGCTCGAAGCACTTATTCCACTCGTTTGCTGGCTGATCCAAAACGGCATTTTTGAATGCGTCAACTGCTTCTTCTGGTGACTGGAACCTTTTCGGGAAAGTAAAGAAATCATTAGGACTTAGATCGGGCCTATATGAAGGATGGTCCAATAATTCCACGTTTTCTTCCGTTAAATACTGCCTTGTTTTTTGGGCTGTGTGCGAGCTTGCATTGTCTAGGTGGAGGATGATTCTTCTATCGGTGTTGATTTTTCGAAGCTCGGTGATGACTTTTGGCAAACAAATGGTGGTATACCAATCCGCAGTAACAGTTCTTTGCTCAATAAGAGGAATTATTGCAATATGACCCGCTTTTGACACAAATGTCGCGACCATCTTTTTTGAAACACTTAGAGAACGGATGACTTTGGTTGGCTTTTCTTCACCTTGGAACACCCAAACAGCCGACTGTCGTTTATTTTCTGGTTCATAACAGTAAATCCACGATTCATCACTAATAACAATGCTGTACACATTTTTTGAGTCTCCGGAAAGCGTTTTTTGACATCAATTGACCCTGGCTGCTTTCTGCTCTTCAGTCAACAGGTGGGGTATCCAACAAGAAACTAATTTTATTACTCCTAATTCTTCATGTAATTTTTTTTTGAATAGAGGTCTTTGAGATCTTCAAGGTCGCCTCAATCTCGCGATATGTCACATGTCTATCTTCAATGATGAGTTTGCGCACAGCATCGACGTTTTCCTGGATGACTGCCGTTTTCGGTGCACCCATCGTCGCTAGACTCACCCGTTCACGTTTGAATTCTCCATACCAATGGGAAATTTTCGACTGATGTGGCGCTTCGTTGCCGAAAACAGACAGTAACTCAGCAAGGCATTCTTGTTGCGATAATTGTCTCTGAAAGTTGTAATAAATTATGGCGCGAAAATGTTCTCGGTTAAGTTCCATCTATCTAATGACTTGGTGACACTTAGAAATTCACTGTGATGAGAACACTGCACGTATTGTTATGAAACTTTGAATTTAAGTTTACTAAAGAGTGAGGATAAGATTCAGTACTGACGTTCGATCCGCGCGGCCTACTATGTTTCTATATGCAAAACTTAAAAGAAATCCCTCGTATATGTATACGCTTACAACCCTGATAATTTATTCTATGCATCTGTTTCACACATTTTCCTGTACATTTGCACTCAAGACAAAATGAAGACGTATTTTAAATGCAGGCGTCTCACGCACCGTATTCTATGTTGATATGATACACCTGCTTGGCGGTGTGACCGATGTCTGAATCATGTCTTGACCAATAGAGATGGGTGAATGAGCAGTGGTAAATTGTGAGCATCAATTATAAAGTCGGATTCACACGCTTGCTATTTGCTCCAAGCCTCAAACGCCTGGCTAGGCATGGAGAACCATCTACACTTTCGTGAGTGTATTTTGGGAAAGCAAGCAAGTTCGACGTCAGCCTTTTTACTTTAACCAAGCTTAAAAGGAATAGTAAAAAAAATCAGTGTAATTGGAAAAATTATAGTTGAATTGGAAAAGGTCTTTTTTATATGCAGATCGCGCAAGTATATGGATGTCTTGCAAATCCATTTTATTTGTACCGAAAGACTGGTCTGGTAAGTTGCAAATGCTAACAAACCTACTCAAACAAGTTTCTGATCAAGATTGCTTCTTGGCACATTTATTACGGACCACTTATATACCACATTATTTCTTGATGTTTCATATGAATTCGAGACTGTTCATGACGACGATATATCTAAAGATTACCCTAGACAAAGATATGACTTGTCAGGTATACTGAACAGCTTAATACTAAATTCCAAATTACAGTTTGAAAGCTTACGCATGTACGGCTTGGTGCTTTTTAGTCTATACACACATAAGTAACCTAGTTCTAGAGAGGAGAAATATCAGACCACTAGCTGACGTCCCGTAGTATGTATCATACTATATCATCCACATGTACCTTCACATCTCTTATCATAGGGATTACATCATAGGTATGGAATAACTGCTCTACTAACAAGCGGAATAGCTCAGCAACCCTTTGTTGCGTGAAACAGTGGATTACACAGTCGTGCAACTGAGCAAACGTTCCAGGCCCACTCGTATCATTAATTCTTACTGAAACCCTCAAAAATACAGTGCATAGAGCTGAAAATGCACTTTAGGCAAGTTAAAATTCAGATAATGTAAAAATCCCTTAATCCATCTCATCACAGACATTTAGATAAAATCGTTGTCTGGTTTCTGACTTGACAGGCACTGACGTTACAGTAACTGTGATCTAAAGCAGTGGTCGCCAACCTTTTCAGGGTGTTGAGCTACTTTGATAATTATACACAGTTGTATGCGACATACATATGTGTTTATTTTACTAATACTAATACATACTAATAAGCTTGAATAAACTAATAACTAATACATACTACATAACTACATCCATTCCTACCAATCGTAGTTTGAAAAATAAAAAGAACTTTCGTCAGCTACAATGGCATGTCGCATACTGTTTAATATAGGTAACTAAGAATAAAAAAAGCAACGAACTATTTTAAACAAAAACATGTCCAGATAAAAATGCGTGTTCAATGAGAAGCCTGACACTCAGTCAGATTACGGTATTTGTTTTTAATAAACTTCATATTTGAAAAAGAAGATTCACACAAATAGGTTGAACTAAATAAAGTTTTCATTTTCAAGGCAAGACCACATAAAACTGAATATTTATCTTCACTTACTGAAGGCCAGATACATTTTGTATTTGAGACTAATGACTTTAAAGCTAAATCATTTTGAAACACAATCACTTCCATTTCTGTCGCAGCGATGTCTTCGGTAAAATTCTGCGTAACAGATGTTGCAAGCTGTTGGATATCAATTTCCATGAAGGATGAAACAACAAATTGCGCCGCTACAGCAATTTCATTGAAATCTTTGAAATGATTTTTGAAGTTATCCTTCGAGTTAGAGACTATTTGGACGGCTTTTGCAGAAAGGAACCAACCCACTAACTATGAAAAATCTATACTTTATGAAAATAATCTATTACGAGCATATAACTTATAAATTGTTTAGTGTCACATTATGTACACATACTTAAAGCCTTTAGTAAGACATTAATTAAAATCGTTTTAGGTCTAAAGTAAATTTTTTATCATTGTCAAAACTTTAATGCCTAATTGTTCAATGATTGTATTTCTGGGTTCGTTCCTTTCTGCAAAAAGGCGTCATTTCTACATTATATCTCCTGTCATATGGTTCTAATGGACTCTGAGATATCTTTTCTGACATCGATTAAGTTTTGTTCCCAAAACTCAAGCTTTTTGATAAACGCTTCTATATCAGAAATTATTTCTGCTAGTTCCTTGTCTCTCCCCTGAAGCTGCAAATTAAGTTCATTTAATTTTTCTGTAATATCTACAAGAAAACCAAAATCTCTAAGCCAGATTGAATTTTCCAGTTCCGGAATCGGTTCATCACGTTGTTTGTAAAATTGAACTATGGCAGATCTGATATCATTAAAATGTTTCAGCACCCCCTACTTAACCATCGGTCTTCGGAGTGAAGAAGTAGATCCCCGTATTGACAGTCAATTTCATCGGCCAAGGTTTTGAAGAATCTTCTTGGTAACGCTTGAGCGCTAGTCTGGTTCACAATTTTTACTATCAATTTCATAACGGTGTTTAGTTTTAGAAAATGTCCACATACTGCTTGCTGATGGATAATGCAGTGGTAACAGAGAAATTGCGGAAAACTTTCATCTTTACGACATAACCTCACAACCCACCATAGCTGGAGCGCCATCAGCTGTCAAGCCTACCATTTTCGATATTGGAATTTTCTAAGAAGAACTAATATTTTTAAAAGAAGAAAACAGGTCCTGCAAAGTAGTCTGTCCGTTTAGTGGAATAAATCGCAAAAGATCTTCTTTAATCGTAAAATCACTAAACACCATCCTGATGAACACGGCCATCTGTGAGGTTTCAACGACATCTGTGGATTTATCCAGCTGCAGTGAAAGATAATCAGATCAAGATAATATATCATTGCTCATCACTTCTACTCGTTTCATGACTGCAGAATGTTGCATATATTTTATAACAGACACCATCACGTCTTTATTTCTAAAGTTGGCAGATAATGAATCTGCAGCTTCTAAAAACGCCTGTTTTATCATTTCCCCGTCGTCATAAAGTTTCTTCTTTTGTGTAATTATCTGGGACACCCGGTATGATGCTTCAATTGCACCCTTACTTTTGTCTTTAACTTCTGTAAAGAAATATTGTTCTTCCCATTCCGAATGGAAATGGTATGTTTTCATCTTCTTACTACTGCTCATAATGTTTTTAATTTGCAGGCCAACTCTAACCCAACCGCTGGAGCTTGTGCCGTTCAGTCTTAAGCTAAGCGCACTATCACCGTGCCTTGCGTACTTATTCCGTTCAAAGTAATTGAGATCGTTCTCGAACAGATCGCTCACCCTGCCCCTGCTTGTGTATGTTATGAGAATTTACAAAATTTACGGAAGCTCTATGTTTTTTACACCTTTTTAAAATATGTTGTCAGCTACCAGAGATGCCTTTGCGAGTTACCGGTAGCTCGCGATCAACGGGTTGGCGACCATTGATCTATAGGCTGCGGTGCTTCAGACCGGTTTGAGATGCAACGGTGTATTCTGAGACAGCCCTGATGTCCCTCATCAGAAAACCGCCAAAAAACTCGAGATGGATAGTCCAGTAGTAGTATCTGCAAGATCACCAGAATTCATTTGCCAAACAGGTTTATCGGGGTTTTCAAGTGTAACAAAACCACAACGCAACGATTTCAAAATGAAACAGCTAGTGCAGTGGGATGAAGTCAGACTTCCATCAAAAAACCTTGTTGAGGTTCATACTGGGATCCATATGCCAAACTCTGAACTATTTTGAACAGGATCGACTCACCTGCGATTGACGGTGGTATGAGGTACTTGGTAGCATTTGTTTTGTCGGTTATCGTCCATGCCGTGATACCAGGTATGCCTGGTGTGCCATGGTTTCCGGGTTTTCCTGGCCTTCCTCGGGGTCCGGGCAGACCTCGTTGTCCTGGAGGCCCTATGGGACCGGGAAATCCTCTTTCACCTTTCTGACCTGTACAAACATGAGTGTTAAGTTTTACTAAAAGGCGCGTTTCTATATTATTCACAATTACGCTGCCATTATGGGAAAATCACAAATAATTATGTCTAGAAATGCAAAAATATACAGGGCGTTAATTTTCCGTTTTCAACAAAAATTACCTGTAGCATTTTGGCCTCCAAGTATAGCAAGTGACATATAAATCCGAACACCCAGTTTAAATGGTTTTATTTTAATAAAATTTTGTATAAGTACTTAATGAAGCATAATAAGTAAATGATAAAAATTTCAAAATGATTGCACTGCTTTAAAGCCCTTTGACGTTTAATAATCTGTGGATGCACCCTGATGTGCTACGCATTCTCCAACGCGCCTAGGCATGCTTCTGATCAGGTGGTCAATGTCCTCCTGTGGTATCTCATTCCAGGCAACCACCAACTCCTCTCGAAGTGCTTCTAGAGTCTGAGGAGGACGTTGCAAATTGAGCAATCTCCTACCCATCATATCCCACACGTGCTCAATTGGGGATAAGTCGGGAGATCTTGGTGGCCATGGTAACAATGTGACATCATTATGTTGAAAGAAGTCTATTGTGACTCTTGCAACATGTGGTCGGGCATTATCTTGTTGGAAAGTTGGATCTGCCAGGGTGTCAAGATAGGGTAAAAGATGGGGTTCTAGAACTTCGTGGATATAACGCTGCGCGTTCATGTTACCTCTGATGAAGATTAAAGGTGACCTGGAACCATAAGCTATAGCACCCCAAACCATAACTCCAACAGTGTGATGAACATGTCTTTCAACAAAAAACTGTGGATTCCTCCTTTCATCACGACGCCTTCTAAGCCTGGCACGACCATCGTGCATGCCTAAACAAAATCGAGACTCGTCACTAAATACAATACTGTTCCATTCCTGATCCCAGAGTGACCGTTGTCTGCACCACTCAAGGCGATTACGTCGGTGTTCTCGAGTTAAAGGGAGGACCCAGTGTGGCCGGTATGAAAACAAGCCAACACTTCTCATTCGTCAGTAAACACTTTGCATGCCAATAGGTCTTCCGTGTTCTGCAAACCATTCATTTGCAATGGACCTGGTAGTGGAGAAACGGTCCCTTAAGGCCAATAATCTTAGGCGGCGATCTTCACGGTCTGTTGTTCTACGGCGGCGTCCAGTGCCCCTTGCTCTTTGCGTACGGCCTTCTCGAAGCCATGCCTGACAACACCTAACCACAGTGTCTACACTTCTTTGCACTCTAACTGCAATTGCCCGAAAAGAAAGTCCAGCTTCCCGAAGTCCCACTATACGGCCCCTATCAAACTCACTAAGTTGACGAAATCGTACAGGTCTCCGTACTCTAGGCATCGTAACCGATCGTAAAGGATGTCAAGAACCAAAATCCGCCAGCGTTGATTCTTTACTGCGGCTGAAATATTCATTTTTAGAGCGTTAGTGAATAAAAAAAAAGCAGTACAAAAACCGGAATGTCCAACTGATAAGGCTGAAAATTTTTTCACTTGTTATTTACAGTAAGATAAATACATTCGCCAACTTTTATTAAAATAAAACCATTTAAACTGGGTGTTCGGATTTATATGTCACTTAGTATGCATCAGTACAAAATCAAAATTTTGGAAAATAGATTCCATGACTATAAAATTGCTTGGATCTGAAATTCACTTAGTCATTCACAAAAATTGCGGAAGTATGGGTTGCCGAAATTTTGTGTTTTTCAGACAAAATTTCTAATAGCTCAGCAAATAATCGTTGCATCAGAAATACATCAGTCCATTTAGAACAGACAACTTTGATGAGTAGCTGAATAATATAATACCATGTACAAATGTTTTTTCGTATACTATTCAGAACGATCCATAAGCAGGTCTCTTCAAGATATCGTAATCTTGAACAGTATGCTGTACACTTACGTTTGGGCAGCTCTGTGTATGGTAAAAATAGATAGGTCACTGGTAATATTCGTTTTGAAACAGCAAGATATAGAGGTATCGTTAACAGAAAAAAACTATAAAATTCATTAGCATCTCTAGTGTCTCAAAGGTGGAATTTTAACTATCTACAATGATTATGATCCATAAAATATTCACAAACTTTTGCTTAATTTTTTGATCATTTTGCCTCCCGCCAGATTGACGATTATCGTCATTCTTGTTATATTTTCTCTTCCATACTCATTATATACTAAGATGGTCAATTAAATTTTGCTTTATGTAATTGTTATGACGTCAAATACTCTTTTAACCCACCATCTTTCCCATCCTTTCCGTCCTTTCCCGGCATTCCATCCTTCCCGGGGATTCCGTCATGACCATTTCGACCAGGCATTCCATATAATCCTGGCTCTCCAGGGATGCCATCTCTGCCATCCAAACCTGGCCGTCCCGGCTCTCCCTTTTCACCTGGATAACCTGGTGTACCTGCCAGAGTAAACTTAAATAAATATGTTTCGTCAGCAGAGAAAACGTTTTCAACTCGCCAAACTGACCTTTTAGGAGAACATTCAAGAACTGAAATTCAGAACTAACCTGCGAGACCTCTGTCACCCTTCTGACCCTTTGACCCTGAAATTCCAGGGCTACCTATGAACAAAAAAAAACGAACAAAAACATAAGAAAATAAGAACATAATAGGGATATACACTAATTAAACAAAAATAAAAATAAGGATATATCGTAGACTAATACGTATAGTTCAGTCAAGAGAACTTCTGTAGTCCAGTGAGATTGTGCAAAAGCTTCTGTACATTTTTTGAAAATATTTAGCATCTAATTCGGATAGATTAGAAGGAGTCAAGCCTATATGCTTACATTGCTTTGCTTGTCGCCAAAATTGAGTAGCTTTGGTTCATACTTTTGACTCATTTGACTACCAATGCTTACAAAACATCTGACAAAAGTATGCAATAAGCCATTGTTTTTATACAGTGGAAGAATTCCTTAATATCTGATAATATTTTTTGTTGTTGTTGTTTTTGTCTTTATAAGCCCTTCGCGGTTTTTCCTAGCTATTTGGAAGTGAATATTATTATTACTATTTCCGTATTTCATGACCTGTTTCGTCGGTTTCCCGTGGCTGGGGGAGTTTCTCTTGTCAGCCAGGCATGTAACGCCTTCTATTGAGGTGCAATAGCTCTGACTTCACATGTACAGGAATCGCCAAGTTATGTGGTAGGTGTTTAGACTTGTAGGTTTTTGCATGAGCTGAAAGCTTTTAAGATTAAGATCCAATTCCTTGAGTGATTTAAATAAAGATTTTGGAACTATTCCGGTATTAGATATTATAATTGGAATTAGTCGGGCTCGTTCATACTTCCATATGTATTTCACCACAAAGCATAGATCTATGTATTTGCTGACTGTGTCCCTATATACAGGGTGTAAAGTTAGTAATGGATCAACGGAAGTCAGATGATAGAGTGCCTCAAAACCTGTCGAATGAACCCATATATTTGTGGTCCGAAATTGTATAGTTCAGGATATATTTGCAATTTTGTAAAATTTCGAAAAAACGGGATAATGGATTTTCGATCGCAATTACAACTAAACAATTAGGTTTAGTGCTGTGATTTTTTTTCTAAGATGAGCTAAATGGTTAGTTTTAGTTATGGCTATGTCACTTCTTAACAGAGCTTATTATTAGAAATCAACGCAAAAAATCCTAAATTCATTTTGTGAACAATCTCTTCCATCCGTCAACTTTGGAGGGCGGTAAAAAAACAGGTTGTATTTCATTGATCACTTTATTGTAATACTGTTTCAATCCATGTAGAATAAACCCTGAAAATTTTAGCTTGCTACGATAAACGTAAGAGACGCAATAGAATCCTTACCAACTCCATTATTTTCTATACACAAGCGACACCTTCTGATAAAATTGTCCTTCAGTCTTTGAAATGAATTTGCGTTTTCCATAATTTTTATTTTTGCTTCATCAATTTTCTGGCTCAGTTGGTTGACAGATGTATAGATTATCCCCTTATAAAACCCCTTATAAAAAAACCTAGAGGATTTTAATGGGGTGACCTTGGAGGACATCGTATGTGACCACCTCTACCTATCTAACTCCCAGAAAAGGCGCTGTCTAAGTAATGATGTACGGCATTACTTGGAAGAGATTTTTCACAAAAAGATGAATTTAGGATTTTTTGCGTTGATTTCTAATTAGCTGTGATAAAAAGCGACATAGCCTTTGCTAAAACTAACTATTTAGTTCCTTTCAAAAAAAATCACAGCCCTAAACCTAATGGTTTAGTTGTAATTGCGATTGAAAGTTCATTATCCCGTTTCTTTCGAAATTTCACAAAACTGCAAATATCTCCTGAACTATAAAATTCCGGACCGCACATATAGGGGTTCATTCGATAGGTTTTGAGGCCCTCTATCACCTGACTTCCGTTGATCCACTACTAACTTTACACCCTGTATTTATTCCAAATTGTTGTTGCTTGAAATGTCTGTATCGTTCAGTAGAACTTCTTTGTTCCTTTTGTCTTTAACCACTATGTCAGGCCTGTCGTGCTGGATTATTTTGTCTGTTAGAATGGTGCTGTCCCAGTGACTTTCACAGCTTATGTCTCGCAAAACAACTGTTGGCTCGAACTGGTAGTAAATGACTGTATTTTCTATAAGGTTGAATTTCAGTACCAGTTCTTGATGTATGATTTATAATTGTTATCATTGTTTAAATCGTCCAATACCACGGTAATCTGTTAACACTCGCACTTTTTAAAAATAGCACTAAAAATACGAATTTAATGACGGAACTCTTAAAAAATTGACTTATGTCAAGTCCACTTGTAATATGTACTTTCAGCCTGACCACAGACTGAGATTTTGGAGACAAGCAAATCGTGGGCTTGCTTCTTTCTACCTAGTTTGAATTCGTTGTAATAGTGTTGAGATTTTCCCTATTTTTTATTTGAGCCATTTCCTCGAGGTATTAAAATAGCGACGTTTCCAGGAACCGTCTCATTTTCTTTTCGATTTAGTAATTTGTATAATGTTTACTTAGCTGTTCCATTGCGTACATTAAGGTAGCATTTCCATGAGAACGTCACGTATCGAGCGTCAAGAGAGGTCAGGTAGTACGATATATACATGGTCATTTGTGTGATTTTGGAGCGTCATAATTCAACGCAAGCGGGTAGTTTGAGTCAAAAAAAAACAAAAAATTGACATCTCAAATTTCTTTTTTTGTTGTCGTTCCAGAGGCCCCTGATCATTTTCAGAAAATAAATTATTTCTGTTAATAATTAAGGTTTAAGGGATTGTAGGGATTGTATACGCTTCCAACTTTGGAAGATCTACTATTAGTGCATATTGGGCGCATCGTTTCCTCGTGCATTTGCCAGTAAAACTCTAAGGAATATGTTCAACAGACGCGTCACGTATTGGTCGCCGTCGCACGGTAACACATATGGACAGAGTAAGTCTGCGCCTGACTGCTCATCGCTGACGGTGGGTTATGGTATGGCTTCATCGCTGACGGTGGGTTATGGTATGGCTGACTGGTGTGGTTCAGTAACGATGCTCGGTGGTCGATACTTTTTATCGGACGGGGAATAAATTTCTAGCGGTATCAAATGGGTGGCCACTATGGACTAATTGAATGGGCCTGTTAATTTTTTCGTTATACATGCCCTTAGCTAAATTTTTTCCCAGAAACAAATTGTACCGAAAACAGTCATTTACGAACTGATAACCGTTGCATAAGAAGTGAAGGGTTAATCTATATTTACCAGCTCGCTAATTTCAAACAACAAGTTCAATTCAAGCGCGTACCAAGTTCAAAACGGAAGGGAGGCATCTTAAAAAAATTTGGTGGAAGTTCCACTGCTCATATCTAAATGATTATGCTTGATGATTTTTTTCTATTTGCGTTTCATCTACATATATATGATCTTCCACGATTTGACAATTCATAAGGATATGGAAAACTACTAGGATTACTTTTTGTATACTTATACGTATATATCCTTTAAGGTGAATGCAATGAAATAAAAAATTCTCGCTAAGTTTTGTATCAAAGTTCAAAGTTAAAAGTCTTTAGAATAATTGGGAAAGGGATGAAAACGCCTTCACGTTCGGTAACAGCTAATTAAAATAATTCGTTCATTTATGGATTTTTTGCCGAAAAGTGCTTAAGAGTAAGTAAGAAATAGTAGACAAAAGTTAAAGCATTTGTAGTGATGAACTTAAAAAAAAATCTCCAAAAATGCTCAAGCCATGCTTCAATGAAGCTGCTGCAACAAATTGAATATACACGGTGTGTTTTTAATATCTAATTGGACATTATCTCCATTACTATAAAAACCTGTTATTCACACAAATTGTGGACGATACGGTTCCTACTTGAACGATACCGCTCCCTACAGGATGATTCATATCTACATGATAACAAAAATAGAACACCGTATGTTTTTCAGTATATTGTAATGTGCCACTTCAAAGGAAGAAGTTCTGGTATAGCCGGGGATGTAGCACATTATACTAATTCTAGAAATACTTTATCATTGTCGATATTTATTTGTTGTTTTTTTACAACTACTTGAAAGTTCGTCATAAAGCCAAAAATAGTTTTATAGAATATGTAGAAGAATACTAGTTTATTCTGGAGTGATTTTGAAAAATATGTTTGAAAATAGAACATTAATATGATTTTTCGTGTCTTATCTCCCGTCTCAACTTTGTTTCTTCTTATGTATGCCATTTTGCATATATGAATAGCTTTTATTTCTGATTTCAAATGTTATAGCATGTCATAAATTATTATGAAATTTTTTTTTTATATTATTTATGTGTAATCATGAGGAAAATCGAAAACGGTATACTTTTAAAGCACTGAGCGCTGAAACGTCAGATCGAAATTCGTCGTGTAGAAGAGAAAAAGTGGTGATGTTATTATGTAATTTGTTTGAAATTTGTAGACAATCTGGATGTTCAAAAATTTTTGTTTTGGACTGAAGCTAGGAAAAAATTGCAGCGACTTAGAGTAAATTCGGGAATAGTGTAAATTTCCAAACTGTCCAAGTTCCATTTTTCTATTTACCTACGCAACTTGCCCCCATAAGGTTCTCCGTGTCGTATATTTATCATGAGATGTGATATTTATTCGCCGTGTAGCCTGGACGTCAGTAATTATCGATCCATACTGTTTCGCAGAAATCCACTGCTGGTACGGACCACGGTATATACTGATCATGTGACATTCGTTTTACCGTTTCCGAGATCCCAAAAGAGAGGATGAAATTTGAAACACGTATCATATATAGTGCTTTTAGCAAAATTAAATTCAAATCTAAGATAGATTTCAACTAATCCTAGTAATTCCTCCACCTTGTTCAACCTTGACGCTCTCGTGATATAGAAACGACAACTTTAAATAAGTAAGTACGTATACTTGAAGTCTAATTTTTCCATGTTTTCCGCATTTAATAATGTGACTGCTTAAAAAAACAAAAAAGTGAGATAACATAAAGCAAAAAAAAATAAACAAACCTCGTGCACCTGCCTCCCCTTTCTGTCCGGGAATGCCTGGTAACCCTGGAAAACCTCTGTTTCCTGGGAAATCACATTTTATTATGTATCATAACAAACCCATGTAGCTCATTGATAATAATAAAATGTACATAATTCTGAAGCTATAGCTATTGAGCGGCCATATACGTTCGGAATTCCGGACTTCTGAATTCGGCAAGAGCTCACGAATATCAAACTTCCTTTAAAAAATGGTATTTAAAAAGTATTCCTGAGCTATTACGAATTAGACTATGAAAGCAACCCCTACTATATTATTACATCGATAAAAAATACACTCAGTGACATAATTATAAACATAATTTCTTCAACTTGTTTTTTTTGCAATGAGAATAAAAAGAAATTTTATTGACAAGTAATAAGAAAAAAATCAATAATGTGGTGGGCGCTCCGCAGCTAAATACACCCCTGTATACGACTAGGCATCGACAAAACTGAGATGATCGATGTCTGGTTGTGGTACCTCATTCCAAGCAACTCGAACTTCGTGGATTAACTGTGGCAGAGTCTGTGGCGGATGGTGCAAACATTAACTCCTGCTTCTTCAAGTCCGTAGTACGACGTGCGTTGTCTTGCTGAAAAAGGATGTGTGGACGTAACTCTAGATACTGGAGTAAAGTGGTTTGTAGGTCATCATCGACATAATGCACAGCAGCCAGCGACTTTGAACAAAGAGAAGGGGTGATCGGGGCAATTGCCCCCCACAGCATTACTGTACACAATCCTGTGTATCTGCCTCTCAACACCAAATCCAAAATCACGCCGTTCTTCACGGCGGTGTCTCACACTTCTACGACCATCGTGTGTACCTAGACAGAATCGCGATTCGTCGCTGAAGATGACATTATGTCATTCTGTCTCCGAATGTTGACGACAGTGGCCCGCAGTCAGAGGAAGCATTAACCGTGGACAGTATTGTAACAAGAATTAATAGTACTGTTGGCGCCATCTATTGGGGACCGCGCCAGATTATCCTACTCGCCAGAGCTTCATGGCCGATCTCTGTTTTTACGCGGATCGCGACCGCACATGCCACTTGGCGACATCTGTTGAAGACTGTACCAGTGACTCGCCTTCTAGATCGACGCGAAGTGACCTCGACGATTCTGGAATGCTGCTATGTAGCTCAGCGGAATCTTCTCGAATCACGATGCGGACTATATAACTCGATGGTCAGGAGAGGGAAGCAGAGTATAGTAGAGTATAGTTCAGTCAATGGCGCGACATAAGAATTAGACAGACATAAATAGTGGTGTACATAAATGTTCCATCTAGTCAAGTTAAATAAATTAGTGCATTTATTTTTGTGGAATCCAGTGTTTAAATCCAAACCCAAAAGTACCCAGAAAAACGCTACAGTATGAAAAAAGTCCAAAGGCTCGAATGCGGCGATAGAGTGTACGCAAAGTAACAGGTCTACCTTCCTTTCCAAATCATTGGTCAGCGATCTGATGCGTAGTAGCAAATCGGTCTTGTAGATCTAGTTGTCTGAAGCGCCTATCTTGATGCTCTGTGGTACGCCTCGGCGGACCAGTTGGCTCTTCGTGTTCATCTACCTTCTTCTATCCACACACGATACATACGCATTACCGTCGTTGCAGTACAATTAGCACTGGGGCCAATTTCGTGATAGGACAAACCAACATCTCGATAGGCAATAATTCTACCCCTGTCAAAGTCGCTAACATGATGATAATTTGGACGTCTTTGAACTCCAGGCATTTTGTTATGCTTAACACTCGTAAATGAAAGGGCAATAACTAAGAATATCTGTTTGTACTACTCAGCTCTCAGAAACTACTTTCTTCACAAAAACTAAGAGATAATGTTTTAACAAAGGTAAACAAAAACAAAGATAAAACGTTGACATTGTTACCACAGCATGCTTTAAATACAATAAGTTGAAAAAATATTTCTTTCTGGGTGTAACACTTCTAGTGTGTACATCTTAGTTTACGCGTTACGCTACCTAATGATTGTATCAATCATAGAATGTACAAACCCATATCTCCCGGTATTCCAGGAAATCCCCTTAATCCTTGTGTCCCAGGCTCGCCTTTGGGACCTGGTGGTCCTTGTGGTCCCGGTGTTTTAGGACAGAATTCTTGAACCCTTTGACAGTATCCCTCAAGTGCCTTTTCCTGCAAAAGAATTTTAATTTATATATTGTTTTTTTCATCTCATTTTATACAAATTCTGCACATATTAAACATATATGTCACAATATATTTCCTAAAATGTGAGTTCTTGAGGGCGGTATGCAACAAATGCTTGAGAATCACTCAATACATTTGCAACATAAGATTGAAAAATGGGGCGTGATATATTTCAGAATACTTGAGTTCCCGTGTATGGCTCCTTTTTAAAATGTTGAGAATCCTGCACGCTGAAGACACGTTTAACCTTGTAGCTCTCCAAAAATGTTGATAGCTCCAAAAAAAATCATGAATGATATGTACGTATATGCACGACTAAAATGTTCTGAAAATAGTCCATCAAAAAGCTCCGCTGTCACAACTCTGGTGCCCAAAAATCTTAGCGACAAAGTATGACTACAGTTACAGTATATAGTTACCCAATTCTTACTAAAATTACAGGTAAAAAAAATTAGAGACAGGCACACCGACCCACAGTCAGATGGGCACAGTTACGAAAATATGTAACATACCCCGAAATTACATATATTCTACAAAACCGGCATGCTTACCACGTTAATATATTTATACGCTATCGTGAATATCGAGATAGGACTCTACGATAGAACATCAAAATTGCTTTCAAGACGCCGTAAGATAGCAAAAAGAACAGCCTCGATGTTGAAAAGTGACATCAATTAGGTTGATTCTGCACTTCCCACGCAACGCTGTTATCAGTTCATAAGAGATTATATTCGACTCTAGTTAGCGACTCTGATAATAAGTTAACTAAATACATATATGACAAACAACTAAATGGATCAAGTCACTCTAACAGTCTCATGCAATTAGTCCATAGTCACCACCAACTTGACAACGTTGCGAAATTTCACCCTTGCCCTGCCAACAGTACCGCCAACTGACAACGTAGCTATTGCTATCCTCGTCAGCCAGCCAGAGGCTAGACTCTGACACAGATATATCTGCCTAGGTTCGTTAGGGTGCTTAAGATGGATGTAACATATTAAAAATATTTCTCTAAAATTCTAAAACTGTAAGTCAAATGTACGAAGAAATTTGTGAATGTCTAATTGGTCCGTAAGATTTCCAGAGTTGGAAACATATAAATATAATTTTTTTAACAGGGGAAGGCTCCCCCCCCTAAGTGTGAGATTCTCCAGAAGCTGCTTACTCACTAAAATCCTTCAGTCATTCCCCACACGTCCAACCACGGCAATGCTTGCAGCATTCCTTCATAGTGCATAGCTACTCTCCATTGTACATATTCATAAATTCGTACCTATGTACAACATGTACATGTACAATCGAGCAATTAGGAACGTACAGTTAATTTCTTAGTCTATTTTCGTCCTCTTGCTCATTGCTCAGCGTCATTCGCCTCACTATGAATATCAACCCATCTATTACTTTCGAGAAGATGATTAAGAGTATCCTCCTCTTTGTTGCAATATACGCAGTTCTTTCTCTTTCCTAACTTCTTCAGGTAGTTGTCAAAACAATTATGTCCAATGAGCAACTGTGCCGTATAGTAATTTATCCTCATCGCTGCGCTCCCTTGAAAATCCAAGAGTTACTATCTGGGATAAGCCTTCTACTCCAAACACCTCTGTTGCCATCTAAAAAAGCACCTCCCTTTAGTCGTTTCTAGCTTTGGCGCCCATTTTATACAGCGCTAATCTCCCTTTAACCAGCAAATCAGTTGGCGGGTTACCAGCCGTTATGTTTTTGGTGAGTTCTGAGCATTTGCTACCTATATTCCATGTTCCTCAAAGGTTTGTTATAAATAGGAATCATTTTCATATCTTTTTCAGGCCACGCACCCAGGTACTTACTCGCATTTTGGCTTCGAATCTCAGCGTTCTGAACCTTACTGGCTAGTGAAATTGGCCTCTGTCTCCCAGAGTAGTATAACCACTTCCTTTTTCGAAGGAGCAAATTTCAAGCCACTTTCTTCCGTTCATAGTTCTCATGATTCCATATGCCAAAAACCTTCCTAGTGTACCTCTCGCTAATGACTATTTTCGCCAAGTCTTCAGCATATCCTATCTGAAAAATTCCCAGAAGCATCTATCCGGTAGCATAGTATAAATATAGTAACGCAAAAAAATTGCACCATCCGCTACAACCCCCAACCTCGAATTTATAACCCTTACAATTTTTCTCTCAGCACTTTGAGTTTGAGCATTTTTTTGTCTCTCGATCGATTTTCAAAAACTACAAGCCTTTATAGTTCTTGGCATAGTAGTAACCATGTCAAAATTTTAACTCCGACTACTTATCAGTCTACACGTTTTTCCTATATTATAAACCAACTTTTATAAAATCAATCAGATTTTCCTAATTCCAGTACATTTTCCCTTTTCTGACACATCTTAGTATTTCTTGCGGCACCCGTGGGGCTTCTTAGCTATTAGCATAAATACTTATCCCTCTTCCTGTCTTTCAACGAAGCTGCATCAATCACAGCTGTCAGTAGCACAGTAGTACCTTAACCGGATCAGCATTCAGAAAAAAATGTTCACGTTTCCTGCCTTTGCGATATAAAGGTATAACTGCCTACAAACGGGAACTAAATTACCCTTGTAGGCGTAGATAAATTGTATACGATTTGCTACAATCTCGATAATACAGTGACGTGACGTATCCCTGTAATACATTACGTGAAAAATAGCTTTATGGAGATTTTGACTGAATCTCACCCCAATTGAATAGTTCTGAATTTTTTATATCATCGAAAAGTTCTTCAACTCATATTTTAACAGACATTTAAATTTATAATACTTTGTAATTTCATTTTTTGAAAATAGTATAGACATTGAGTAATTCGTAACGTCAGTTTATGAGAATGTTGAAAAAGTGTCTCCAGTGATACGTTCTTATAGAATTAACTATACAAGTGCTTTTCAAAAAGAACTCTACTCTTTGATATTGTCACGCTATCGAGCTGAAATTTGAGGCTACAAAATTGATGCATGTATACCATATTTTAGCGCAAAAGCGGTAGTTGAATATTTCAAGATGGCGACTGCTACCTTCTTGGACAATTTTTTAAAATAAAAGAGAGCACGTGATACCTCGTCTTGGATCTCCGTAAGAGTACTTTACAACCCTTGCGTATAAATTTACTACCTTTCAGAATGGTAGACTGGCAGGTTGTCAAAGTTTTTCTACATTAAATTGCTTATAACGCAACAACTAATAATAAACGCGCTGACATAGTTTGACATTATTCTTTAAAGTGAAATGTCTCATGTTTTATTGTACATTCGAGTAAATCTTCCCAACAAAAGAATATTGATAGAAGATATTATAGCGTTTTGATGATTGGTTGTTGAGTTATCAACAATTCAATGAATAATAACGCTCGTCTCTAGCATCTCTCCAGTCCGCCATTTTGAAATATACTGATTTTTTATTCGATAGTTATAAAGTACTGACAAGGAGCTACGAAATGAGATATCACAAGGCCCCCTCATTCCATTTAATAAAAAATGCTACAAGATGGCACCCTTCCGCCACCCTAGTATTTTCAACTGTCATTCATATCCTTAAATATAGTATTCATAAAATAATGTCATCATCTTAAATTTTAGCCTGCTAACTCGAACCCATCCGAGAAACGACAAGAAGAACCTTTTTGAAAAGCACTGTATATAGATGAGCGTTTTAATTAAAATGCTAAGACATATCATAGACCAGTCCACAGTTTGTTCTTTGCTGTACAAGTCCTACGAAATATTCCTCTCAAATCTTCTTATTGTTCTCTCTCTCTTTCTTCACTTAGTTGACTGTAAAGGAGTTAGGGAGAGTGGTATTATGTCACAATATTTGTTCCAACACATACAAATAGTATACTAAGTAACATATAAATCCGAACACCCAGTATAAATGGTTTTATTTTAATAAAATTTTGTATAAGTACTTAATGAAGCATAATAAGTAAATGATAAAAATTTCAAAATGATTGCACTGCTTTAAAGCCCTTTGACCTTTAATAATGTGTGGATGCACCCTGATGTGCTACGCATTCTCCAACGCGCCTAGGCATGCTTCTGATCAGGTGATCAATGTCCTCCTGTGGTATCTCATTCCAGGCAACCACCAACTCCTCTCGAAGTGCTTCTAGAGTCTGAGGAGGACGTTGCAAATTGAGCAATCTCCTACCCATCATATCCCACACGTGCTCAATTGGGGATAAGTCGGGAGATCTTGGTGGCCATGGTAACAATGTGACATCATTATGTTGAAAGAAGTCTATTGTGACTCTTGCAACATGTGGTCGGGCATTATCTTGTTGGAAAGTTGGATCTGCCAGGGTGTCAAGATAGGGTAAAAGATGGGGTTCTAGAACTTCGTGGATATAACGCTGCGCGTTCATGTTACCTCTGATGAAGATTAAAGGTGACCTGGAACCATAAGCTATAGCACCCCAAACCATAACTCCAACAGTGTGATGAACATGTCTTTCAACAAAAAACTATGGATTCCTCCTTTCACCACGTCGCCTTCTAACCCTGGCACGACCATCGTGCATGCCTAAACAAAATCGAGACTCGTCACTAAAGGCAATACTGTTCCATTCCTGATCCCAGAGTGACCGTTGTCTGCACCACTCAAGGCGATTAAGTCGGTGTTCTCGAGTTAAAGGGAGGACCCAGTGTGGCCGGTATGAAAACAAGCCAAAACTTCTCATTCGTCGTTAAACACTTCGCATGCCAATATGTCTTCCGTGTTCTGCAAACCGTTCATTTGCAATGGACCTGGTAGTGGAGAAACGGTCCCTTAAGGCCAATAATCTTAGGCGGGGATCTTCACGGTCTGTTGTTCTACGGCAGCGTCCAGTGCCCCTTGCTCTTTGCGTACGGCCTTCTCGAAGCCATGCCTGACAACACCTAACCACAGTGTCTACACTTCGTTGCACTCTAACTGCAATTGCCCGAAAAGAAAGTCCAGCTTCCCGAAGTCCCACTATATGGCCCCTATCAA